AATTAAGATTTCCATCTGGACATCTCAAATTTCAAGAAAAACAAAACTCTTGATTTCTCCCTCACACCAAACCTTTTCCTAACCAACTGTTAGTTCACCCCTGTAATTAGAATCACATTCACCTGGTTGACGTGATAGTCATTTCTATAGTCATTTCTAATCCAACTCTTTTTATCATATCTATCGGTAAGTCCTGTCAACTGTATCTCCAAAAAATTTACTTTCCAATTACATGGATACACACATTTGTCAAAACTCACTGAACCACAGGCTTAAAATTCATGTCTTTTATTGTATGTAAAAGTGTATGGGGCTGGGGTTGTGGCTCAGTGGTAGAGTGCTCGCCTACCATGCATGAGGCACTGGATTTGATCCTCAGCACCACATAAATGTAAAATAAAGATATTGTGTCCACCTAAAACTAAAAAATAAATATTAAAAAAAATGTAAGTTATACCTCAATAAAGTTCAGTAGTGGGGATGAGGGTGGGAGTGTGGTCACATATTACCTATACAAATCTGACCATTTCTTACCACCTACCATTCTGCTGCTTGGACTATTACAATAATTTCCTGGCATCTTTGCTTCCAGTTCTACTCACAACAATTCATACTCCACAAAGAATCCAAAACAGTATTTTTAAAAGTAAATCAGATGATATCACTTCCCTGCTCAAATCTCTCAATGGCTTCCTATCCCACTTAAATGCAAAGTTCTTACCATGAACTCAAGGCCCTCTGTGATCTAGCCTCTACCACCTGCTCAGATCTCACCTATTACTGCTTTACTCCTTGTTCACTATGCTCCTGAAACAGTGGTTTGCAAGAGGCTCCAAAATCCTATCAGGCTTATTTCCAATTAATTCTTTTTCCTTTTTCTTTTTAAAACTTGTTTCTAAAGTTCTTTACATTAAGACTCTAGATCATGTCATTAACTCTAGATCATGTCATTAAATATCAACAAAGAAATACTTGCTCAAGCCACCCAAAGAAGTAAATCTAAAATTAATGCTTCTTAATATAATTTGGCTTTCATAAATTCAAGTTACCACAGAAAGTGCATATAGCTTTCTAATGTCCAGCTGGAAAATTAAACTGGGATGAGTTACAGAGAGCCTGGTAAATCAGATTAAGGAGTTGATATTTTATCTTACAGGCCAATATTAGTTACAAACTTAAAAACTGAAATGAGCTATCTTTTTATTTTTCAAATTTGGAGGTCACAAGGATATATGAAATCATGGAGCAAGAGGAGTTACTCTCAGGGATACACATACACACACACACACACACACACACACACACACAAACACACACATGCACCTTTTTGTATTTCTAGAGTTTTAAACCATGTGACTGTATCATCTATTTAAAATATAAATTATAAGTAAAATCACATTTTAAAACAAGAAAAAGGAATACAATACAGAAAAATCTTTACTCCTCCTCTAAAAATTAGATGAAAGAAATATAAACACATAGATAAAACATATTCATATTTGTATATAATGAAGAAACACACACAAAATACAATATATCCTCATACATATGGTTCATATCATATACCAGAGAATGCCTTAACAAAATTTAATTCTGCAACCTAGTTAAATTTGCATCAAAATCAGGACTTGTCAACTTTCAAGCAGTTTCCTTAAAGACCTGTATAACTATTGAGAACTCATATAGTAAAGAAGACTTCCCTCAGAAATCTAATGACATGCAGGTAACAAAAGAAAAGGACAAGAATTAAACAAAGAGAAAACTGACAGCACAATCTCTTTCAAACTCATCTCTAGTGGCCAGTCCATTTTACCAATGGCTATATCAGTTAAACCAAGATGAATAATTAAATGACCAAAGACAACAATAAGCTATTTCTTAAATCCCTATCATCTCCAAATTTGCTTGCAGCTTCTTTATGTGACTCAGAGAATGATACAAGATAGTACCTCTGTATGTAATATCCTTCTCTCCAATATTCTGGTTTTTGATTCTGACCTAAGGTGTAGAACCACTACACCTTGAAAGTATCAAGGAATGGACCCACTTGAACTAATTAGCCAGGGAAAAGGCAAAATACAAGAGAACAATAAAGAGAAGAAGTTTGAGAAGGAGAAAACCCAAAACATCCAATTTTTATTATTTATCCTTTGATCAAGAGTAAAGTATTAAGCTTGTCCATGTCTAGATTAAAAAAAAAAAATAGCCCCTACTGAAAAAATAGCCCGTAAGCCCCTACTCTGACCTGTTATTTGTAATATCAGGATATTGCAAACCTTGGATAAAGCTCATACTTTGTGGCCATGACAAGAGAACATGGGATGTTTCTCCCCTCCTTAGTCACGGAAATAATACTCTCTCCCTTGGAAAATATACCTTGATTCCCATTACCCTCTTCCATCAACACACTATAGCTTTCCTAAATTCCATTCTATCTATCCTCTTCTAAATAGCCAGGCTCTAAAAAGCAATGGCATCTATATACACAGGTTACCTCCGAGAACATAATCTCAATGGAATACTAACTGTTCTTCATTTTTATAGTTACTTTCTTCTTCTTTAATTTATCAGATCTACTTTCTTATCTTCTTAATACTTGCAATTTATCTTCAGTGCTATACTAATGCCTATTTCCTTTCACTAAATCAGAATCTCGAAATTTCCTTTCTCTCTTATTTTTCCACACTCCCAAAATAATATCTGAAAATTATGGGAAAACATTCAAATGCTTCTAGCATTAACTTCAGATCCTACCATAAGACCTATTTTAATATGTATACCTATGACAGTACACCTGTTAAAAGAAATCAAGTCATCTATTCAACTATAATCAAATTAGATTTTCACTATTGCTTTCACTTTGAAACACATTAACAATAACTTAAATACTACTTATGCAAGGGGTGGGGGGATAATTCCAAGATGCTACAAACTGAGGAAAAAACTGATTTTGTAACTAAAGAATAACCTAATGTGTTCTAGTCCTTAAGAAAAGACTCAAATTTAACCATATTCAGGTTGACATTCCCTGTACATTTCTTAGTTAAGAAATACTGGTAAACAGGACCTTCCTCATGTATTTCCTATCTTGGCTAGTTGTTACTAACCTAGCCTTCCAAGTCAGAAACTTGAGTACCAATCTAGACTTTTCCTTCTCCATTATCCCCCAAATGAAATGATCCCCAAGTCCTATTTTTTTAAGTGTTCTCCAGTAAATTCTCTCTATTCCATCTGTCATGGCCTCATCCAATCCCTATTCCCCTCATATCAATGTCTCAAGTCACTGTCTTCTCAAAAATCCTTATTTCACACATTGTTGTCAAGGTGATTTTCCAATTGCAAACCTAATGACTCTTCTGCTCAAAACTTTTCAGTATGTCCCTTTCACCCACAGAATAACACCCAAGGCATACATAATAGCACATAATTCTATGATTTGAGTTCTGTCTGCCTCTCAAACAAACCTTATATCTCACTGCAATTCCCTCATCCTACACTTTAAACCCCATCAATATTAAGCTATACTGCTTAAATTTCCAGCATGGATCATGTTATTTAGTGTCTCCATGTTTTTGCATAGGTTGTTACTTCAGTCTAGAATTTCTTCACTTCTTTCCTTGACTTCCTAGACAATTATTATTAATCTTTAAAACCCAGCTCAGATTCCAGGAAACCATCTGCAACCATTATTATTATTTTCTCCTCTGCCAACTCTGTACATAACATAGTTCCTGACAAAATTAAAGGCATTTGACAAGAATTATTTCATTTAATCTTCATAATTATCCCTCCTATGAAGCAGTACCATTATTACTTGTGTGCAAGTAGAAATGAATTAGAAAGGTAACCTCCCCAAGGATACTCAAGTGGATAGAGACAGATCAAAATCCCTACATCATAACATTTATAATATTGTACCTTATCACAATGAACTTATTTACATGTGTATCCTTACTCTGGATTGTAAGCTCCTTGAGGGTGGGGAGCTTATGTCATATTTGATCAAATCAACAGTATCTGATATAAACTAGGCAATCAGTGCATGCATTTCTTGAATTGATTTTAAAACAATATTCCTAACAAGTTCAAGACAAAAGCATTTATAGTTTCAAAAAAAATTTGAATATGCTATAAGAGTTCTAGAACAGAACAAACTATTTTCTTCATCTAATAAAAAGGATGTTAAGAACAGAGGTTATTATAGACATGAGATTACAGTCCTTGTGGATGATAAAATGAACTTATTTTGTAGTAATACTGCTTAATCACTGCAATAAATCAAAATCCAAAGGACCATTTGCTTAAGATTAACTTTTTTCTTTCAGTAAATAAGAATTCTTGTTGCTTATCATTCAGAGCAGTGAAAAGAGAGCCCTAAATTTACTTTGCTCAAGTGGAAAGAAGCAAATCACCGACCAGCACTACTAATTGCTTCCTTAAATCCAGCCAAGAAATGTATCCCATTAGGCAATTAGAAGAAAATACAGTTGCCTGACTAAGCATTTAACAAAAGAATTTCTAAGGTTGTGTGGACTGGCATTCCATTAATCAAATAATGAAAAATTCTTTACCCTAAGCAAATAGAAATGAAAAAAACAAAACAGATTATCACCATTAGTCTTCCACATTAAAACATACATGTTATATTAAAACGTATGCATGTGTTTTCCCTGTTTCATTAGCCACTGCTATTTAAGATTATAAAACTCAAAGTTATTCTAATAGTAATGATAAATGACCTCAAGACAAAAATCTACTGTACTCAGTGTGCTCAGTTACAGTCTTCTGAGACATATTGGAGTACAGTAATTAAAATCCACAGGGACAGTATCAGCAGCAACAGTGCACATCACAGTACTTGTTTGAGTATTCTGCACCCCGCCCAGCCTCTACACACTTGTGCACTACAGAAAGGTAAGTCTGCTATCAAAAGACTCAAGAGTTAGTCACAGTCAGTTTAGGCCACAGCTCAGCAAATTCTAACCCCAAGCACATCTTACCATTTCTTTGTACACTCAACCATCAGTTCCTGGTAGGAGGCCACAAACTGGAACTTGGATGCATGTTTTCCCACGCGCTGCAGTCTCTTCCAAACTGAAGCCATGATGATGGGTCAACAGACTGGAACAGTTCTGGGTTAGCAACACAGCAGCTTTAATAAAGCAGAGGGTCCAAAGCAAAAGAGCTTTGCATGTGTGTCTGCACTTTGAAAAACTCAATTACAACTTGAAATGTTTGGGGTCCATAAGTCTTCTCCCTGTTTCACAGGGTAAATCCCATCTTAGATGAATGGCCCAATCACCAACAGCATGATATACATGACAGGATGAATGAGAGGAGATTCCCTCAAGCAGCCATCACCATTCCACCTCAGGGGCTATAAGACTCCTATTCTGGAGGGCTGAAAAGCAAAACAAAGACAAAAAGAGAAAGAATATGAGGAGAGTAGCACGAAAAGTGACTAACCACCCATGTTGGAAAATGCTGCAACAGACAACCCAGGTTCTCTGTATGTTTTTTTAAACAATGAAACAAAACACTAACCTCAAAAGCCGGTAACATCAAGAATTTAAGATACCAAGAAAGAAATTACAATTCACACCAAAGACATGGAGCAATATATCAGGTAATCAGCATCAACAACAATCACAGACGCAAGTCGGGCCCTACCTTCCCTCCTATCATCAAACAAGGGCGAGCAAAGCGGGAAAGTCTAGGGACGCGGTTTAATATCCACGGCCACTCAGAGAGAAGAGTAGAGTATTTTTAAATAAACTTTGTTTTTCAATAATAGCCTCGAGTTCTAGAATACATGCTTAGAACACACTAGGGAGCAGGGAGAAATGCTGTTGTTTGGAGGGGCAAATGGGTGGGCAACGAGTAGTGGAGGGAAATCTCAAGGCAGAGGGAGGCAATGTCAGGGCTCCAGGCCACTTGGGCTCCCTTCACCTTCGCTGCCAACTGGAGGGAAATGGAAACTCCTGCCTGGGCGTGAAGCAGTGTCCAGTGGGGGCAAGTGGACTGTGCGGGGTGCGGTGCTGCCCTCCCCCATCCTCTGGGAACCAGCCTGCCAGAGGCTTGCCTCCTGTCCAGACCCCTGACCCCCAGCAAAGACAGGCGGTGGCCCGCTGCGGTCCCTGTCATCCAAGCGTTGCCAGAGACCCCAGCCCGGTCCCCGAGTCCCGGCCCCGCCGCTCGCCCACTCCCGCCCCCTCCTCACACCTCTATTCCCGCTGTCGGGCTGAGTCTGGCCCCGTTCCCTCCTCAGAGTCGCTCCTCCGTCGCCGCCGCAGCAGCAGCCGCCGCCGCCGCCACCGAGTCCTCCATCCCCGCTGGAGCCACATGGAAGAGCCAAGCCAGCTGCGGCGCTCGCGGGAGCCGGGGTCTGCAGCCCCTCAGGCGGACGGCGCCCCTCCGCCCGCCCCCTCCCTGACGGATCGCCCTGCGACCGTCTCCCACCCTACCAAACCCTGCCAGAGCCGCCGCTCAGCGCCCAGTACCCCATCCCCCGCCTTCCTCCTCCGCCACCATCATCATTACCTCCCCCGCCGCACCTCTCACACTAACCCTACCCACAGCAGCTCAACCTCTGTCCGCCCCGGCGCCATTGGCCGGGCCCCGCGTGAGCCCCGCCCACCTCGGCCGCCGGGACTTAGCTCGGTTGGGGCGCCTCATTGGCAGATCCGCATGCCCATCACAGGGGCCCCACCCACTAGCTAGCGAGGTGTTTTTCCCTCGACCGGAACGCGGCGCACAGTCTACCCTTCTTTTAAAAAAAATAGGAACCCACTAAGGACAATCCCGCCCATTCCTTTGATTGGCTGGAAGAGGGAAGCAATAGGCGGGAGGAGGAGTGTTTATATTGAACTGGAAGTTGATCGTGGAAGGTGGCTTTCCGTCAAAGGCACCGCCAGCTGCAGAGCGGATGGTTTCTGGCTCGTGGTGGTGGTGGTGGTGGTGGTGGCAGAGTTAGGGGTTGGTTTTGCTGCCGCTGTGGGTTGTCGTTGCGGCTGCTGTCAGTTGTCTCTCCCATTCGCCTTTCACCACTTAGGACCTGGGCGAGCCCTCTCTTCTGCCACTAGCAACTGGGGGTTTTGCATACACAACCTTTTTTTATTTTCACCAAATTCCTCCCCGTTTTGTTTCCCCCACACACACCCCGCCCAGTGAACAAAATTAAGGACCCTCCCAGACCCACCCATACCCCTGTCCAAGGTTCAGTCGGTTGGTACTCAGGGAGATTTAGTAAGCTGAGCTAGACATAAAGTGTACATCACAACAACTTCTTGTTCTGATTCATTATTATTATTATTATTATTATTATTATTATTATTATTATTATTATTATTATTATTATTTTATTATTATTTGAATCTTGATTTCTGGGGTTTATTATCCCTTGGTATGAAGTGGATGGATTTGGGAGTGGCTGGCTATTTAAAAAGATGGCTAAAGGGATGAAATAAACTAAAGAATGTGAGAGCAGGAGTAGTTAGCCTTGTTTTAAAAGCCATGGTCCCTTTTGAGAATATGAAAGCTATAAACACTTCCTCAAGGAGGAAAATTACCTTATCACAAACAAAAATTTTGCTTTCAATTTTAGCTGGGGCACAGACCACTGGTATAGAGGAAAGAGGACAAAGAATAAAGTGTTATGGGAATCCTAGTACTTAGGAAATAAGAAGAGTAAAGTCAGAAAGAGACTGGGGAGAAATGATCAGAGAAGTAAGAGCATTAGGAAAGCTCCAGAGGCAAATAGTTTGGAAAAAGAGAGGAAAGCTAACATATGAAAAGAAAACGGGAAGTCTGGGCCCTAGACACAATGGAGGGTCATTCTTAATTTTAGTAAAGTTGGAAAGCAAGGTGCATGGACAAAGTACCTTAAAAAGGTATTAGAGTTTTTATGGGAGGATTCTTTGAAGGAGAGTAAAGGAGGGTAGTGTTGAGGGGGAATTGAGAATATCTGTAGACATTGGGGGACAAGAGAAAAGGGAAAGACAAATATTGAAGATTTAGGACAAATGGAGAGAGAGAAGCATTGAATGCAGTATCCAATTCTATTTTCAATTTCAATTAAGTTATAAATAATACCATAAAAACAAAGTATACATCTTACAGAAAAGACAATTATCACTTATTTTGCCATAGTCTTCATTCTAAAATGTTGAGATAACCACAGTAGTTAAATTGACTCTTATTTTGCATTCACCTTAGCATTCTCTAATGTCCTTCTTGAGTGGTTTTACTAAGTCACTACAACTTATAGTTATTTTGACCTCATGTAGTATTCTGTATCATTAATAGGTTAAGTGTATGGACTCTTTTTAGTGGCTGATAAATAGAAATGGTCATAAATTATGTTCATTCAAGTTGCCCTTCAAGAACAACACACATAATAGAAGGTTTTTGTATTTTATTTATTTTTGTTCTTCATAAAAATCTCATGCTCATGTGGTCATCCTGGTTTCTTTTAATATTCTTTGCCTTCCCTCAAAAAAAAATTGGTTGAGGGCAAAGGTAAAAGAAAAAGAAATAAACTTTATTGTAAAGAAATTTTCTTAAAAGCAATGAGTTTTAAATAATCAGTGTCTTTCTTTAAAAAGGAGGGAGATAGAGTTCCTTGGGGAATCTTCCTCAAGTTGTGGAAAATTTCAAGAGACTGATAGTTTCTTGTAAAACTGCTCTTCTTTTTAGGGGAAATGTTTTTCTTGGATGTGGACTTTTCATTCTAGCCACTGAGTAGCTAAGAGACCAAGGTTAGAATTGTTTACTGAATGAGTAAAGAAATTAAGAGTAGACCTTGACATTGTTCTACTGCTGAGTTAAATGCATAAAGGCTGTCTCCAAGAGACCCCACAGAGCAGCTTCTTCTCCCAATAACACTTTTAAAAGTTTAATCGCTGGTACTAAATAAATAAAAGAAACCTGCCTGCTAAAAAAATTTTTTAGAAGAGGGGCTGGGATTGTGGCTGAGTGATAGAAAGTGTGAAGCACTGAGTTTGATCCTCAGCACCGCATAAAAATAAATTAAAATAAAGGTATTGTGTTCATCTACAACTATTTTTTAAAAATTTAGAAAAACTTTATAGAATAAGATCTTTTGGTTTTCTTAGCTGGTAATTATTGAGTACCAACTGAGTATTGATCATATTATATACTATTTAAGAGTACATAAAAATTAGTTCCCATTCTCCAAGAATTTTCAGAAACACATTTTCAGCATTTTTGCAAGAAAATAACACAAATTGTACTTAACCTTTCAGAGTCCCAACTTCCTATTGAGTCCCGATTTCCTAAAACCAGTATCAGGCCCATCTTTCCAGTATGTTAAGAAGATAGAAAATACAAACTTAAAGTTCCTGGCACATAATAAAACAGTAAAATAATAATTACTAGTACATTCTGTTGTGATTGCTGTTAGTAAACATGAACAGGCTAGGGGGGAAAAAACCAGAAATTCAATAAAACTTAGGCAATACTTATTTGGTACCAAACATCACTATCTAAAGGACTAAAGACTTTCAAACTGTACATTCAACATTATTTCTTTTCTGTTAACTCAATAGGTACCAAGATTGGAACACCAATAATTTAGGTGGACTCAGGATTTTATTATAATTACTAAGAATGACTCAATCCCCATGATCACTATTCATGCCCTATATTAGCTGGAATCTTTTAGCATGCTAAAAGTTACTTTTTCCTGAAGTCTACATTTTTCCTACTATAGGAAATGTACATTCTACTGACCCTCCCCCCATCCAGGATTGCCCACTGAGTTTCTTCTGCTCCCAGCCCTACTCAGGTCTTGATTTATCATCTCCATCAGTCCCAGGCTTAAACTACACGAAATAGATAATAACCTATTTATGCAAATTTTTTTAATTGGCCTTTCTATTCGACCCTGGTTGTTGACTCCAAAGTTTTATGGATGTTTTACTTAATAGAAGATTCAACATTTCAAATAATTTCAATTTTGCTTTTAAATGTCATCAAATGTAAAATGAAGATAAAATACAAAGAAATAGGTAGAAAATACCACCCCCAAAACTTTAAATCTTCTCTGCCATGACAGTTAAAAGTTTAAAAATTCCTTTCAATGAAGCAACTTTTCTCTAGTTATTACTTCCAAAAATTCCCAAATGGAGAGTCTATAGTATGAAATGCAGCCATAGGCTTGAATTATTATTGTCTTTCCTGGTGATAAAATTCTTATCTTTGGGTTTTACAGTTTTTGCAGTACACATTGTCAGAGGTATTATTGCAGGATTTAACTACTAATGGAATTTGTGCCTTAGTCCTAATAATAAGATTTACTCCCAATAATAACACTGCAGGTTTTTTCATTGTTTTATCCAGTTGCCATAGCAGTTATACTATACACAATCATATTATGCAATTTATAACTGCTAATGAAATTGTTAAAAACCTGCAGCCAAAAACTATTCCCAATAATCCTACAGCAAGTTTTATGACCTTAAAAACTCAATGTCTCAGACTAATACTTTTGAAATTTTAACTGATGGGATTTTTAGACTTTTTTTTTCTTTTGGGTATTTCCCTTTTTATCCTATGGCTTTTCTTATACACCCTAGCATCACATTCACCCTCATTTACGCTCATCTTTGCTCATTGTTTCAGGAAAGGAATATAACAATGTAGAAAAACAGGAATTTTTTTACTTAGTTTTTGAGTTTCAAAAGTCTAGCCTTTGGGGGAGGGGGGTTATTGAAATGGAATCCAGCTAAAAACCTGCACTCCTCCATAAAATAGCTTCTAATGAACATATGAAACGTGGTTAATCCAAAGTAAGATGTTATAAGTATAAAATACGTACTGATTTTAGACTTAGTATGTAATAAATAGTGTAGTATATCTTATTATTCATTTTTATATCGAGTACATGTTGAAATTATGGTCCTTTGAATATATTGGTTTAAACAAAAATATTAGAAATTTATATCAACCTGTTCTTTTCCCTTTTTAATATGGCTACTGGAAAGATGCAAATTACATACGCAACTCACATTATTTCCCTATTGGACAGTGCTGGTGTAGACAATAATAAAACTTCCTTTCACAGAGATGAGAAATAGATTTCTTAAGGTAAAAATGGAAGAAGAAAGTTGGAGGGAGGTAATGAAAGCCTAGATACAATGGATCCCTGGAAATAGGATCTATTCTTACCCTATTCAGATACAAGTTTTGGGTAAGGGTAGCTGAAATGGCAAGATCTACGTACAGGACCTTAGAGTTGAGAGATATAACTTATGTGACAAGCTCCTTAAGAGGGAAAAAAACAAAACAAAACAAAAATCAGGCCATGTATCTAGGCCAGCTGAGACTTCAGAGTGGCACAGTC